CATGCTATACAAGCTGAATTTAGGTCTTTACCTCCTCTGATTTATAAAAACTACCCTTCCAACAACATTGCAAGACTACACAACACAGTGTCCCCACAACTAAGCATTATGAATGCTAGAAAAGGAAAAAAAATACATTTCCCTGAACTTGCATTCTCCAACACCCCCCCCCCAACATTTATATATGCATACATAGGTATGTATATAAACAAGAAATACTCACACATACACACACCCCTTTACGTATATGTACAAAAAAAATCTAACAGAATCTGCTGGAGTAGTATGAAAAACACTTTGATATGGTGCCAATAAGCACAATCTAAGAAACTGTGGAGAACATAATAAGTCGGCCATTTCTCCCTACATATATTACTTTGAATTTTGTCCAATTACAGCAAGAAGCAGCTCCTGTGCAATCTGGGAAAGAGGCACAGTCTGTCACGTATTCCAAATCTCAGTAGAAACCCTAGGTGCTCTTTAGGGTGCTTATTGCATGGTGGTATAACAGACCTTTGCCTACAGACCAGAGTATAGATACATGACTCTCAGATAAGAGACAGCGTGCCTAGCTAGTATAATTTTCCTTAATTCTATTAGAACGTTTCTAAATTCCTACACCTCATAGTTCTAATGACAGTATGGATCTAATTTCTGATGTCAAAACCCCCAAAACATCAGGTTTTGTTTTTACAACAGATTGAATTTGTGACTAGAGCTCAATTAACTGTGTATGGTTTACTAAGATTAATGGATGTATACTTCTACAAGTCTCAGCAAATATTTGAGTAAAGTGGGAAAACATATTGGCACAGAAACAGAATATCTGATGCTTGTTTTCATGCATACTGATTTAGGGGTGTGGTGGTATTCTTTGCTGTAAGTATTAGATGAGTTAAGGAGCATTCATAGCCTTCAGAAAGGAATGTTAACATATTTATTATACAGTGTTAGCCTATGAATTCCTACCTCATGCTTTTGATAACTATTTATAAATATCTTAAAGATCTTTTAATCAGAATTGACAAAACTCGTCGCTCACCCTCCTCTAGCATTCTACACTAATAACCTAATGCGGTACTGCAGCAGGTCAGAGTGCTGGATTCAAAGCTCAACCCTGCCTGGGACTACCACGGTGTCTGAGGCAGATGGTGTGCTGTAACTGAGGGAAGCCTCAGAGGAAACAGGGATCAGACCTGCTACAACGCCTGCACGCTCTAAAGGTTGTGGAGTACAGCTAGAATACTAGAGTGAGACTAAGAGCAAAGCAGACTTGGCAGGGAAGAAAATGACTGACTTTTCAAGTTGTCATTTAAAAGTTCATTTTAAATAAGGAAAATAAATGCAATAGCAGATCTTTTAAGATTTGGAAACCAAGAAGGAATTCAGTAGGCAAGCAGTAAAGATGATGATAGCCACAGATCTTTTTCAAATTATTGCATGTTTAGGATGGATGACAGTGCTTGTCATCAAATGGCAAGCAAACATGAATATATTCCTTATACTCTTGAGTATGCATATGTTCCCAAATTTTTTTGCCCTGCCCACCTACCTGGACTGGCGTGCTTACTTCTAAAAAGGCTTTTCTCACATTAATCAGTGTGAAAACCTGTAAAGTCTTCTATTACATATTCAGACCTATTAAAAATACATTAAATAATAAAAATAAAATTAATGAATGCCTAGAGACAATGGGGCAATTACTAAAATATCCCAATTCAAGTAAAGTGAGAAACAGGATGGGAAAAATGTGTTTAAGTGGTGGAAGGCTGCAAAGATAGCAATCCTCAGTTGCTCCTGCATTTAGGTGGGGGAGTCTGGGTGGCTGGCTTCACCCACCGAGTGTTTCCATGGGAGATCAGGTTCTAGATATGCACCCAAACCTGCCTGTGAAACAACAGAGGCTGGTCGGTCAGTGAGCAGCCCAAAACGACCAGATGACTAGCTCAGTCAAGCTGAAAAGAGAAACAACTCTAGCAGAAAGGAAGATTAAAAACAATTATTAGCAGGGAGGGTTGGGTGGCATCCCTCATGCTGCAGTAATTGCAGTGGGTGCTACTGTATGTGCCAGCGTAAACAGCTTAACTGGGAGCATCCCGTCCTGCGCCGCTGGCATGAGGCCGTGCCTCGTGAGGAGCACGTGGTCCTCACCACACCAAGCTGCCGTGGACCTGGACCGCAACACCCCTCGAGGCCTCACCATAGGTGGGATAGCACACCCAGGCGACAAGCTCTCAAAAATCCACACCGGGCTTGGGGTATAAAAAACGAGCGGACTGGTGGTTCAAGAAGCTTTTCCTGGGAGGAAGGGGTGTGTGTGTGTGTGTGAGGGTGTGTGAGGAAAAAAAAAACAAAACCCAAAACCAACCAAAGAGGGGAAAAACCCAACCAACAACAACAACAAAAACCCCACACACCAAAAACACCCCAGAAAAATTAAAACAAACAAACAAACAGTACGGTTGAGTCAAACCCGCCGCGGAGGAGTACCAACCCCCCATGACTCCGCGCCCCTGCCACCCTGATCGGCTCGGTTTGAACAGGCCACGCTCGCGCGCAGCCAACAGGACGCCGCGCCGGGCCCTGACGTCACGGGCGGCGGGAGAGGGGCTGTGCGGACAGAGCTGTCAGCGCTGGCAGCTGCGGGGCCGTCTCTGCCCGTCGCATGTACGCGTCGGCCAGGAAAATGAGGGTAAGCGCGCGACGGGTCAGTCGCTGCCGCCGTGACCCCCCGGCAGAGCCCCGGGCGGGCGGCTCGGGGGTGCCGAGGGCGGCGGGGGAAAATCCCCGTAACGGCCGGAGGGGCGGGTGCGTCTTAGAGCTTTCCCCGCGGCGGAGCGGCCGTGCT